CGCCCCGTATTTAATTAATTAACTGCATTGCTTCGAAAGTCTAAAATCTTGACCTACTGTGTGGACTACACCGACTAAAAATCTTTATTTCCTTTCTGCAGCTGACTTTGAAATTACAGTTAGGAGTTCTATGTTCTACATATACCCATCGTCCAGCAGAAATTGAGCCTTCTATTTCTAAAGGAAATAAATTGAGCCAAGACATCCTGGTTTGCCTTCAATTATGTAATTTTAACCATTTGAAATATGATATTTGTCCCTTTAGATCAACAAAATTAATTATGCTATCGTTTTTTACAATGCAATATGTTAAAACTTGTTGTTGTGTATTCAAAACTATTATAAAATTTTCTTTTTAATTGTTTTAATTAGATTTATTGGCAAAACTATTATAAAATGCTTAGGGGCATTTGATATGTAATATATCATAACAATAATATATTTAACTCAAAATAAGAAGATATTTAAACTATCTTGCACTTGTTTAAATTTTGTGTTAGAGTTTAAATGTTTAAGGATTATTCATGCTGGTGAAGTCGGAGAAATTATTATCTTAGTATTATATGAAAATCTTAAGGGCACAAATAAAAGATGAATGATAAGAGAAATAAAAAATTTTATATAAGAAATTCAAAAAGAAAAATATCATCCGATCTAGTCAATTGAAATGATTTTATTATTATTTGTTATTGGTTAAAGTGATGATATCATTTTTTGAATAAAAAAAAATTTTTGGTGTAGTTGAGTTCGTCTTATCAAAACATTCATTTCAATTATAAATTTGCTAAAATCTATAAAAGACTGCACCAAAGCTAATTTTGATTTACCTATTGAGATTCATGTACTATTCTCAATTATGAATTAATAATAATATTTTGTTAAGAGGATAATTTTTTTGTTCATTTTTTAAGATTTTATCATGAAATTATGATTGGTTGCATGCAATGGTAAACCATATAAGATAATCCAAGTCGATGTTCCTTATAGGGAGAAAATTATTATGTGTTGTCATCGGATACCGTTCGGAGGCGAATCAACGCGCCACGTCACTTTTTTGTTTTGTACCGGTGTTATGTACAGAGCGACGTGGTGCATCCTGATTCTCCTCCAAACAGTCAGGTGACCGCACTGAATAATTTTTTCCTTATAAGGCTGCAACTATCACCTAGTGACTGATGTTACTATGGAGATGATGATATTTGAGATTGCCATTATGATGGTGATGCCTCTTGCGTTTCTCCTAAAAAAATGAACATAGTAAGACATTATTTCGCTAATTAGTTGAATCTGGACCCCGTCGATCATTGCATTATTTTCTCCGTTCTCACTCGAACCTAGAACAATATTGCCCCAATTAATCCCGAAAGCACTCAAAATTTTTTTATATTTTCTGAACTCTCTTAAGAGTCCATCAGATCCTGTTAAAAACAATTCACGACTTCATTATTCACAACTTTGAATAAGCCAAAATAAGTCTTTCGCACACAATCAACCCATTGAAATTCCAACTCGTGCAGCAAACACTAAGCCCTTGCCCGGGAAATTATTACGTCCGGTCACTGGACCTAGAAAATAGGTCCGGACATTCACTAAAAAGTTGTCATGAGGATTACATTTTGACTGTGCGCTTTGACTACGCTTTGGATGCACTTTGACTACGCTTTGGGTGCGTTTTGACTGCGCTTTATCTGCACTTTACCTACGCTTTGAACGCGCTTGACTTATATTCCATGTGTCAATTTTTTAGTGAATATTCGGAACTATTTCTAGATCCGGTCACCGGACCTAACAATTTTTCGCTTGGCCGACCAGGCATGACACGGAAGAACATTAATGACCGAGCCATAGTCTTTCTTGGCGGGCCACGTAACATAGATAATTTGCTGGCGAAACCTCCGACGTCCGGAGTTTAATTAATCAACTGATGAATTGCTTCGAAAGTCTAGAAGCTTGACCTGCTATTGGTACTTACCGCCTAACGATTCAACGGCCCACTAATATTCTTAATTTTCTCTGTACAGTGAAGACTAAAAAAAATTCAAAATGTCAAAAATTTTGAAAATAGAGACGTTGAAGGGATGACTAGGATTTTTGGCTGTTTCGCAAGCTGCCACACCGGCCATCCAAATAGCCTCCGTGAGAAATCCAAGGAAAATTTTTTTTTTTTTCATTCATGAAAATCTGTGATTTAAATTAATAATAAGATATTTTAAAAAGTTTTAGAAGGAATTAGACTCTTTTTATAAGCAACTGGAGCACGAGTAATTATTGTGTCTGGACATCGAATGCAATCAGAGATCAATAACAAAGCGTCACGTCACTTGGGCGCCTGGTACCGTCCTCGATACAACACTAGGTATCGCTCGGTATTTGTCCGGGTTTTTGATAATTTGTTCAGATATAATAATTTTTCCTGGAGCATGTCCAAGCCTAGTACTTGGGCAATTAGGGTGGGGAGTGCGGACTAACAAGGGAGGCCAGTTGCCCATTTAATTTTTTTCTTTCAATATTTAGTATATTTTTTATCTTAAAATGTTATACAATTTAAAAATACAAAATAAAAAACCTCTTTAGATTGACTTAAAATTAATTTTGAGGCCGCATCATTTAATATAAACTTAATCAATAAAGTTAGTAGAAATTTTAATATTTAAATTTAAATGAATTTAAATTTTCAATTTGTTTATTTAATTTTTTATTTATATTTTATCAACATAAATATTCTTTTGCTCATTGCAGGCATTTTCTAGAGAATTCTTATAAATTTTTTGGTGAGGGTTGGCCAGAAGTACTCATGAAAGAGGATTAAGAGTGCTAAAGTCCTCTCTAACAAGTGGCTCCCACACTCTCCTGATTGAATCTCTTCTAGAATTTTCTCGACTTCACTTTCCTTCATACACCTCTCATCAAAAATCACATGCAACAAAAATTCATTAGTTGTTTAGCATTAGTGGTTGCATTGTATAATGCATTTGTCATATAAGGATCTTACTATTCTACTTGCTTGGGTGGGGAGGTTGATTCTTCATCTTTGCTAAGATAGTTTCATATAAGGAGAATGTAGAGGTTAAATATCATTATCGTTATGTAAGTACTCATGATGTTGGTTATTGGGCTAATAACTTCTTGCAGGACTTGGGAAGGACGTGCCGGGACCATGGTTGGAGGAGGTGCATGGACAATTGTTTTGGTTTGGGCTTCAAGGTCATTGCACTTGATCTCAATTTTAGAAAACTTTATGTTGAGCACATTGTTTCAACATACCTGAGAACCAAAAATTGAGCTATCCTTTTAGAATATAATGGCACCATGATGCCTCAAACATCTATCAGCAAGAAGCCTACTCCTGAAGTTATAAGCATCCTCAATAGCTTGGTTAGATATCCGGACAACTTGGTATTTCTTGTTAGTGGTAAAGAATGGTTTATGACTTGCAGCAAACTTGCACTTGGGGCTGAACACGGCTTCTTTATGAGGCAAAATCAAGAGTCGGAATGGGAGACATGTGTACCCGTGTCAAACTTTGACTGGATGCAGATTGTTGAACATGTCATGCAGTTATACACTGAAACAACTAATGGATCGAGCATAGAAGTTAAAGAAAGTGTCCTTGTTTGGCATTATCAATATGCTTATCCTGATTTTGGATCCTGTCAAGCCAAAGAACTTCTGTACCACATGGAAAATATTACTGTGTTTAAAGTTTATAGAGCTTCTGGTCTTATGGGTATGCATCAGAGATGCAAAGTATTCGACCCAGGGATTTGGTTGGGATGTTCACTGTCACGACCCGACCCGACGGGGACGGATCCGGACGATCCAACTTCGTCCCGGACGAACCTGGAGCAAAAACTGATATTACATTCACCTCTACCTCCCTCCTAATAACGAGCCTCGAACGGAGTCGAGCTCTTTTGACGCAAGGGGATAACGATGTGGAACATTATAGCTAATATAGTTCTCCTTAGGAATATCTTATCTAGTTTGTTACAAGTTTCTCTAGAATATTCTATAGATAAGTTATATATGTATGCATTGTAGTAGAAAAAGGGGAATGAAATATTATACTCTTTGAAGCCTTAGAGCTTGTGTTCCTCTTGTTCCCTGGATTGGGATTAAATCCTTCTTGCAGGTCGATTCTTCCAACGATCCACTACATCACCATTTTACCTAACTAAGCCCTCCTTATTACAACATTTTAAGTTCCTTATGGCATTTTTACTCTTAAAGTGGTCATGAGAGCTTGCTCTAAGGCTCTTTGGATCATGCTCATGATCCTCTCTTTCATCTCTATAAGCTATTAGTTGGTCACAAACTCCTAATTTTTTATGTTCATGTATGTCTCCTGGTTAGGCTGATTTGTTTCTCATAGTGCTTGACTTTTGATTCTTGGCATCAATTCACACTGAAGATATGCAAGAGGATGTTGAATCTTATTTTATTTATTGGAGACACTTGAATCGTACTCGTATAAGACTAGCAAGATCTCTGAGAATAGTAGAGATTATAGAAGAAAATACACCTAATGTGCTATTAATAAATATATCATATGATTGTTATAAATACGTGGACAAGGATCATGAAGGTACATGTTAATAGTTGCTTCTAGCAAGTGTTTGGGATGCCAATAGCAAATGTTTAGAGTTAGTTGCAGGCTGAGTGCGTGTGATGCGGGTGAGTGACTTTTTGTTGTTTGGGTCAATGGCACTTCTAATAAATGCAAGTGCTTCTTAGATTGTGGCCGACTGACTCCTCTAGCTAAGGCGAGTGCTCCTCAAGTTACGGCAAGTGGCCTTAAAGTTGGGGCGAGTGATTCATATGACTGAGGCAAGTACCCGTTAGGGCGAGTTGCTCTTGGCATGGTGGATGTATCTTAATCCCTTGATGAGTCTATCTACCCTTTTTAATTTATCCATATGTGCATATTAAGGTATATAACTTCAAATATAAAATAATTTTTTTAATTTGATAATATAAAAACCACCACAAAAATTACCCATTTAATCTGCAATTTCTGAATATTTATAAAGTCACCGCTTAAACAGTTAAACCAGTTATAGATATGTTTTTTTAAAACATTTCATTATTATTAACATTTTTAAAATTATCGGTATAGAGAATTATATTTAATTCTTACCTCCTTAATTTTTTATTTTTTTTGAAAACGGCACCATAAATTGCCAAAATTATTAAAAGCAACCTAATTACAATCTAAAATTATAACTTGATTCCTCCTTTAGAAGTTTAACAAAGCAAGGAGGAATCTTATTACAAGAAAGATCATCCCAAATAAACTCCTTATCAAGAGCAAAGTTAGCAGAAAAGTTAGCTAACTTATTACAATTTCTATTGACCCAATTAAAGAAAATAAAATTGAAATCCTTTAAAAATAAAAGATCATCTTTCCAATTGCCTCCCAATTCTTGCAAGAATTTGATAATATTGTAATTATCTCCTTCTATAATTATACCATTGTAATCTTGCATCCACTCTTTTTGTATTTGCCGAATGAAATGGACCGCCATGAGTTCCAATTTAGATATATCCCAATGAGTACAAGAATGACCATATGCCAATAAAAATCTTCCTTCACTATCCCGTACCACTCCTCCAATTCCTGCTTTGTAAGACTTTAATAATGCAGCATCTACATTGATTTTAATCCAGTTGGGAGGAGGAGGGTACCAACGATCTAACAGTCTAAAAGACTGATTAGTACCCCAGTTTCCCAAATTTTCATCTACCATGTAAGAGATAGAAGCATAACTTACAGCACTAGAAGCCATGAATGTAGAACAATCCTCCTTGCCACCGCGAATAAATTTGTTCCTTGACCTCCATACAAAATAAACTGCATTACAGTAAACATTAACCAGAAATCCATTTGAATCCTTGTACATATCCATCCATTTCCAACAGTCCTGGAACGATTGAAAAGAGCTGATTCCAAAACCCCATTTATTTAAGCATCCAATTACTTCCTTCAATTTTCCACAATTTGTTGTAATATGTTCAACATCTTCTTTAACACCACATCCTCTTGGACAAATAAAACCTTCCTGCATTCTTCTTTGATACAAAAAGTCATGCATTGGAATTGCATTATTAAAAACCCTCCACCAAAAAACTTCCACACGAGGTTTCAATTTAATGCTCTTCAAACATTTCCAATATCCACAATCTTGATTCTGCATTAAGTAATTCTTGTAAACCATTGATGAAATTGAATAGCCAGAGTTTTGATGAATTAATTCCAAATAGTCACTGGTTTGATCTCTGTGAATGTCTAACATCATAATTATTTTTATTAATTCCTCTCCACATAGCATCTGTAGTTTCTGCACATTCCAGTTTCCATTTAGCATTAAAAAGTTCACAGTTTTGTCTTCTAAAAATGGAACCGAAACAAACGTTGATCTACGCTTACTCAGATGGCAAACACTTAGCTAGCTTAATCCAGACCTTTTGTCCGCCAGCCGAGAAAAAGATGCCACTCATAATTAATTCATTGCCTGTCTGGTGAAGCCTCACACCGACTATTTGTTGGAATTATATATTGGTTGTTATGTCTTGAAAGCTTCAAAGAAATATATATATATATATATTTATTGTTCCCACTCTTTTTTTTTCCAGAAAAAATAAAAGTTAATCGATTTGGGAATAAAGAAAGAAAAGCTCTTTATGCGTATAGGGTAAAATGCTGATAAGGATATTATATATTTATATTAACATTTTCCCAAAAAAAAAAATATTTATATTGACATGGTTTAAATTTTTGATTCAATTAAACATAAATTTTTTATTAAAAAAAGTTAGTATCAAATGAATTTGTTTGTATTTCAAAAGTTATTTAGACTTCTATTTCAAGAAATTTATAGTAAAGCAAGTATTGTGTTCTGATACATCATTAAAAAATTAGTTTTATCGGGCACGAATCTCAAGGCAAAAGCTAGTTGGAAACTTCAAAATTTTAATTTTGGGAGCACCCGAACTCCGATTTCAGCGAGCTTACAGTCAAACTGAGCGTCTCGGAAATACGAATCCGACGACACCAAGATCAACCCAATCCGAGCCCAAATGAATCCAAATCAAGGGCTCAAAGTGCTGTCGGAAGGTTCAAACCGTAATTTGAGTTACCAAACGGTCTCCAATTTTTACAAGCTTATACTTGAATCAAACGGCTCGACGAGAAGAATCCAACGAGCCCAAGATCGCCGAATTCAGACATCTCTAAGACCTTCAAATGTCCAACGAACGGTGCACGATCGTAGGATTCAAAATCAACCGTCCATTCAACCACTCCCAACTAACCCTTGATCCTCCACCTATTTACGGGCTATGCCATTCCCAAAATCTATAAATAGAGCCCCCTCTTCTCTTGAAAGGGGACCCCCGGAGCTTAAGGAAAAAAGAGAGAGATCGGAGATCGCTCTTACTTCTTAGCCTCCTCGACCACCACCGAAGTTTCGCCGGACCACCGCCTAACGTCGTCACTCCGCCGGACCACCACCTGACGCCCTGTGCTCCACCGGACCACCGCCTATTGTCGTCACTCTGCCAGACCACCACCTGACGCCCTGTGCTCCACCGGACCACCGCCTAACGTCGTCACTCCGCCGGACCACCATCTGACGCCCTGTGCTCCACCGAACCACCGCCTAACGCCGTCACTCAGCTGAACCACCACCTGACGCCCTGTGTTCCACCGGATCATCACCTAACGCCGTCACTCCGCTGGATCATCATCTGACGCTCTACGCTCTGCCAGTCTTTCACTTGAAGCCCTCATCTTTGCCAGGCCATCATTGAAGATTCTCACATTTGCCAGACCTTCATCTAAGGCCCGAAGTTTCTGCCTTATAATCATCTAAGGCCTGAAGTCCTGCCAGACCATTACTCGACACTCGGACTTCAATTGTACAATTGTTTCTTGTAATCTGATCGTCCTTAGAGACGAACCAGCCCATTGTATCCAACTCAAGTTCTAGTGAAATCTTTTCAACTGGGCTAGGTCCCGTGGTTTTTCTCCTTTCAAGGGTTTTCCACATAAAAAATCTTATGTTCTCTGTGTGTGAACTGGATATCCGTATAACGCTAAGACAAACAATTAAAACTCTATCGCCGCGTATATTCTAGTCCGCAACATGTTCGATGAGATAAATTTAATAATATCAAGATTGTTCAAATATAAATGTATCTGGACCATAAACTATTTAAATTTGATTGAAGAGTTAGACCTAGAGAGATTTGGTTAGAAAATATTAGAAAAGATATTTCTTTATTAGATTTTAGATGAGTATTTGACTCTTCATATGACACAAAGAAAAAAAAAAGTATTCATGTACCTGACCACACAGTGGGATAAATGCTCGCTGTTGTTGTTGTAATCATTTAAATGTATTAAAATCTAAACTTTAGATTAAATTTAATGTTGGATTCGATTAAATTTTTTTATAACTATACCATAAGTAATATTTAATTAAAATGTCCATATATAGATTCATAAAAATAGTGTTATATGATGTTATGTGTGGAATATGATTGTGTTGATCAATTGGGTTGATCAATTGGGTTGTTTTGTTGTCTCAGATATCAAGTTTCTTATATTTGCTTAGGGGTGCGGGGAGAACCTTTTTTTTTTTCGAACAACGCCCCAACACTGTGTACCAAAACACCCCGACGTTGCATTACTATAGTACCCTAACGATGTGTTCCCAAGCGCCCCAATACTGAACGACAGAGAACAAAACTTCACAGCGATATAGATATGGCGCTGCAGTGCCTCATGACAAAGGTTTAAGTGCCATAATGCTCTAAAATGGTCTCGTAGCATTGGGAGACAGACTTGACGATTTTCTTTCTCCTTTTTTCTTAAGGGTTGCGTCCCTTTGGGTTATTTTACTTTGCTTTCTCTTCTATGTTTGTTTGTTAGATATTGAGAACGGTGCATGTGAGAAGAAAATTAAGGAGAGACTTAGAGAATAGAGATCTATACTTATTTCTCTCAATTTTCATAGTGGATTTCTTGGTGTGGTGTAATTTTGTGATTTTTCTCTATTTTGAATTTTTTTCATGTTAAATCCTAGTATCCTTTATTTTTCCGCTGCTTTTGTTTTCTTGCTTGTTTCATTATGTGGTGTTTACTCCTCATCCCCAACAAAATTCATCGACTTCCACCAGAGTTCTTCCCGACCACCTTCAAACCTCTACTTGTTCATTGGCCATCGCCGGATCTCCGCTTGTTCGTTAGCCACCGTCGAACTTCTGTTTGTTCATAAACCATCACTGGAGTTCATCCCGACCATCACCAGACTTTCACCCGACCAACAATTACCCCCGGGCTTTGTCGAACTCCCGTTCGACCATCGATCGTCACCAACTATGTCCTTGGACCTTTTCTTTACATTATCCATAAATTTTAGGAGTACCAGTCTCGAGGTGTAAGTAAGCTAAACCGACTTGTGAGCTTGCTCGAGCTCTACTTAATAAGCTCACGAGTCAAGTTTATCAAGCCACTAGTTCTAACTCGACCTATTCTCGAACTCGTATATTAAACGAATTATAGCTCAAGCTCAGCATGGTTCGGCTTGAAAGCTCGTTGAGTTATTTGGTTAAATTAAATATATTTATAAATTAATTAAAATTAGCATTATGTAATATTTTTAATTTAATTATATGTTAAAAATTCTATAAAAAAAATTAATTTAAAACTAAAAAATTAAGCTCAATAATTGAGACAAATTCAAGCTCAATAAGTACTAAATAAATTCAACTCAATACTCAATTTGTACACACCTGAGTAGAGGAAATTATTGGGTTTGGAAAGCGGACACAGCTTACCGTTCATAGAAGAATCAGGTGCAGCCACGTTATCTAGTACCGAGTAGTGCCTAGCTCGGTATCGAGCAGTAGGTTGATACTGCTCAATGTTGAGCTCAATTCCGAGCAGAGAATGATGTGACGTATTTTCATTAAGTTCTGGAGGTGTGCGTTGTACGAACCCAATAATTTTCCCCTGAAGCAGCACTCATCTGCCACGGTAATCATTACGAGGAACCAACATTTCAGAATTGAGAACATTTGACTTCAAAAGGTTGAATAAGCCTAATTATTTCTCCGTCATGGGTCTTCGTGTAAATTACGGAGTTTACAGCGAACACCGTAACAAAAATGGCATGTTCCCTTATTTAAACGTAAATAAATCCCCATTTTCCAATGGATGCCTTCTTAAAGTCGAAACCACGGCAAAATTAGCAAACAAATCCAACAGACGCCTTCTTCAACGCTTCAAAGATTGATTACCCAATCAAAGAATTTTTCAATCGCCGACCAAAACCCTTGATTTCCCTCCAAATCTCATCAATGGCGGAAACAAGGGAGTGATGAGGTGCAAAATCCACCTTTCGGATACCGGCTCCGGTGTATGCGCGGCGTGCCTCCGAGAACGCCTCACAACTCTCTCCGCCGCCGTTGCTAACGCCGGTGATGCCGATTATTCGCCGGAGAGCCGACGCAATCTCGGTCGATCAGCTACCCCCAATTCCTTCGGCCTCCGGCCCGCCGACACCGACTCGGAGAGAAACCACGTCAGGAGGTTTTCCTTTATATCATTTCTGTTAGCTCAGTCGAAGCAAAGGGAGACGAATTCCGATTCGGAGGCCGCGAAGCCGTCGAGGACGAGAAAATGGCTTTCGTCAATGATTCGAAGGCGGAGGGTACAGAAGACGAAGAAAAGGACGCCGCCACGGTTTGCGACGGGGGAGTGGGTGAGCGACCGTGGGATGTCACCGGCGGAGAAAGAAGAGTCGACGGACTTCGAATCCGACAGCGGATACCATACGGATCCATTGCCGATGAGGCAGCCGGAGACGAACCATTACTGCGGGCGTCAACGAAACAGAAATTGTAGATTGACGGGTTTCTCGCTGTGTTTTAGCCCTTTGATGAGGCCCAGCCCTGGTAAGCGGAAGAATCAGGCGCCGTCGGAAATCGGCTTTTCCGGCGAGCTCCGGGGAGGTTTTAATAATCAACGCAATCGGTTTGGTGGTGCTTCTGCCGGCGGAAACCCCGTTCTCGGACCGAATAGGTCGAGGAAGATTGCTGATTTTGGTAAGTTCCGGTGACTGTTTCCCCGGATGCTGAGGGCCGGGGATGTCTTGTGTATTTCGTCCATGTCTTCTGCTCTGGTTTTTGAAAAATTTCTCATCAAATTTTTTATTAGGGTATTTAACTATTTACATCTATTTTGAAGGAGTAGAACATAAATTATTTGTACATTATATCTGTACTTATTTCAAATCAGATCTAAAATTTTAAAATTTATCTCTAATATATTCTGATAAAATTTTTTTTTTCAGAATTTTATTGAAAAACTAAAAGCATATTATATATATAATGTTTTAATTTTAATATTTATTTATATAATATTTATATTTTTAAATCATCTAAAAATACCATTAATATTAATTTATTAAAACAGCATATACATTTTCATGCGATTAAAATATTATATGAATAAATATCAAATTTTAAACATTAGAATATATAAATACATAAAATTAAAAATTATATAGCATGCATGTGATTCTTTTTTTATTTTTCACAATTTTTTTCAAATAAATCTTGAGAAACTGTCAGAAATATTATTATTCTAGTGTATTTAGAACTAGTTTACTTCACATAATGTTACTAAAATGTGGTTAGTCTTATTGTTCATTACTTCAGAAAAACACCATCAATAATTTAAATTTTTTCATAAATAGGCCTTTAAATTAAAATTTGCAACATGATGAGAGTTTTGAAACATAAATAAATTTTTTTCTAATTTATTTGATTTTGAAGACGTGGCTGTATTGATTTTTTAAAGCTTCATTTGGTATAATTTTCGTATTGCTTCCTAAAACGATTTGTTAGTATAAAATTTCTAATTTAAGAAAAAATTGTACTAGAAAAATGTTTTAGAAAGCAACAAAAAATTTTATATATAAATTTCACGGAGGGCTTAAGCGTTGCTGCGTTAGTTAAAAGTGAAATTACAAATATTTAAAGAATTATATCTCTCTAAAAATACAACTATTGAAGAAAAATCTACGTGCCAATAATTTTATCTGATATAAAAAATAAGCAAAAAAAATAAAAAAGGAGCCAACAAGAAGAAACAACACTGTAAGAGACAACAGAGCCAAACAGGAGATCAACAAAAGCAGTCAGAACGACACTTGCTAGAAACAGTGGGAGGAAGAACAACCACCTGAAATGAAGCTAAACGAAAGAATAACAGAAAACCTGCAAGAATAAGAGGACCAACATACTCAAATTAGCTAAGAGCACAACCAATAGTTGGATACAAGCTCACCAAAGACAAAACTTACAAGGAGCAAAGAACATACACTCCCAAGACTAAACACGCAAAACAACAACACCAATCAGGCCCCAAGTAGATTAGAAGCCAAACTCACCAAATAGCCAAGAGGTACCAACTAGTCAAAACCCATATCATTAGCCCAACCTCATAGGCACAAACAACCCAACCCCAACAACCAAGAAAATATCATCGCAACCAAACCACAAAGAAACAAATGCCCAACCCAAAGACCGAACAAACGAAGCAAATCAAGAAAAAACAATCCAAAAATCCGCACTCAATGCTTACCGTAACTCGGAGATATTATTAAGTCTATTTCCAACCATACGTCATTCATTTGGGAATTGATAGTTCATGTGAGCGTCCAATCAAGTTGTATTATGAAAGTATTTTTATGTTTTGAACAGTGTGATGTAAATATTGGTGTCACACTATTCACAAACAAACTTTTTTTAGCATAAAAATATAGAAAAAAAATAATACACTAATATTCTTTTTTGATATTAGAAATGAAATTTTTATTATTTAATATGTTTTTTGTTGTGTTTTGGAGTAGAAAACAATATTTTTGGTTGGAGATGCCCTTAGTATAAATAGTCAACAACTGCACATCTCGCCCTATTGATGTTCGTATCATGTTAAGGCCTGACCAAATTATTTGTTTTTTGGTAAATTTAAGGGCATGACTCCGTATATAAATATTGGGCCTTTTGATTAAGTAGTTTTTTAAGAAATT